TGATTCCACGGACATGTCCATGAGGTGTTTTTGGCGATAATAAGAAAGTTTTTCATTATCTCCAGAGTTGAGCTTTCATCCAAGTACTATGTTGATCCTGTTTACTTATGTGTCATCAAGTCTGTATAAGACTATCAATGACCATGTATATTTTTTCCATGTATGATCATCTCGCTTAGCTTTTTTTTTAAAAAAATCAGCCAAAGTTGGATAGGCTATGTAATGTATGCAGTGATAAAAATGTACACAGAAAAGTTAACATATTCTATTAGGTTGCAGCAGATAAACCTGGAGAATAAAATAATGTATTCTGTGATAGACAACTTATTCAACTCTTGTCCCCATGCTTGAGTTAATTCTAGCCAGCTAGTTATTAAAATGATTATTATTTAACTTTATAAATTCATTCCTATGTTTGCTTTTTTCTCCTTTCGTTCCTTTTCTTTGGCTTTTTAGAGTGGGATAAAAATACTTTGAATGACCAAATAAATCATAGATGCCACCATAAGAAATAGGAACTCTAGACGTTGCTTAGTGATTCTGTAAAATGGGCATCTGACATATTCTACCGCACTGTAGTTTCATCAGCAATAGTTCAATAGTTTGAGATGCTAGAGGGGATCAACACATCGACAGTAATAGATTATTTTGGTGACTAATGAAACAACTGGCCCAAAATGGAGACATTAAGGGACTGCTGTCCTCTCTTTTGATTCCTATACCTGATGTCCTTCAGATGCATTGAAAATACAACTCTACAAATTCTGGGAGCTGTAAGTTGTCGGAGGGTGCTAAATTGAATAAAAAAGTGTGGAATCATTTGTGCTGTCTCAGCTTGGGTTGTTTTCTTGCAGACTTTTCATTACCCAACTAGGTAATATCTTCAGGGCTAGCTGGATAAAATTCTGTTTATATAATCTTATGATAAAAAGACTCCCACAAATATATTCTCTGAAGGACTACTAACCTTGACTATTTCAAAGATAGTCAAAGACTATTTCAAATATAATTCACTGGGATACATGGAGATCAGATAATGGCTTATATTATGCTTTGGGATAAAATTGCTCTTCCTCCATGAAAATGACCTGTGTGGCTTATTCTGTTTCTTAAATGTGCAGTGCTGAATGTAATTCTAGAGGGAATCAACCAATCACCCGTCACCAAAACATATGCATTCTTCTTTGGAAGTAACCCCATTGACATCAGGTCAATACATTCCAAGTAAACTCTTGATTGTAGTTTCCCTCCGGTACTTCTCACTGCTAGGAGAATGTCAAGAATCCTAAGCATGGCCCTCCAACACACATGAGAGCAAGACACCCAGTGCAATCTCTCTGGCAACCTGCTTGGTGCTGGATAATCAGAAAAGAAAGTGTGAGTCATCCTCCTTCTTGGGTTGAAATGAGAATTGATGCCCAATGCATGAGCTGAGGGAAAGCTGCTTATCATTTAAGTACCATATAACTAGATTTGGAAATCACCACCCCTGCTTTTTCTGGAAAGATTACACAAAAGAACAGCTGTAAAATGGCCTGTCTTCCCATTTTAATGACTTCAATTAATGAATTGCTTTGTTTCAAGCATCTGGCTACTTTCCAAACTATTAAAAAAGTTTCTTGCCTTGAAAATCCATAATCAAGCACTTGGACTGATTTACAATTTCCAGCATGACTTCTGACAGAAGGAACGAAATATATTGAACTTTCTATCCTATTCCAAAACAGGGCTGGGGCTTGGGGCTGGCATATAGATGCTTATTAAGTCTGTCCTCATTTCTGAAGGTATTGAGAAGAATTGCTTTGGATCCTGCACAAGCCCTATTGCTCCGTTCATTCAACCAGCCCCACCTTTTCAGGCTTTCATGTGGCTCTGGGAAAAAAAATTGCAAATATTTGAAGGACTCAAAATCAGCTGCATTTTTCAGGCTCCTGCAGAACCTGGAAGAATAGCAGTGGTACTGTTGTGCTCTGCACATTCTTCTGTGAAGTACTCATCTGAATCATTTTCAAAGCACGCACCACCCTACAATTCATGTCCTTAAAGCTCTCCAGTGTTGGAGCACCCACAACCTCTGGAGGCAAGTGGAGGTGATGGACACTGGAATGACATGAGCCTTGTTCCAGCTGTTCTGTTCTTCATATCACATTTGCTTGTCTCCTGATTACCTGTTGTCTAACTTGCTTTATTAGACATGCCAGATTCTGGGAGAGGGAGCCCTTGCCAGGAAAAGAGGTGTCTCTCATAGAGTTTGATTCCAATATATACAGTAGGTGAATTAGCATGGCTTTGTTTATGCCACACAAATCACCAAATGAATTGAAACAAGTAGTAAGCACGGATCAGGCAGATTGGTTGATGACTGGCAACAGAGGACCATGGGTGTCATAAGGCCTAACCACAACCCTTGTCTGCTGCCCTCAAGTGCCACCCTATTACTTCATTGGGACTCAAACATGCAATTGTCACATCAGCTGGCTTCTTTACATGGAATGGAAAAGAGAGATTGATCTAAATGTAGAGATGCTACACAGATCTCAATATCATTCTGCCTAGAAGATTTTAATGTAAATACAATGTAGGTGTTCCTTAATTATCAATTCATTGGGTTTTTTTTTAATTTAAGGATACTCTTGTCCAAAGATAAGTGACAGAGAGGGTAAGGGAGAGGGAGGAAAGCTTTTGGAGCATTTTCATTCTCAAAGTTAAATAAAAGAGGTACCATCTGTAACCCATGAAAAGATGGGTTTAGATGAGGTCCCCAAGCTTCTTAAAAATGTTTCTCAGCCTGCTTTGGTCTCACCCACCATTATTATAAATTCTGTAATATTCCTCCCTTACTTAAATTGTTTTGGACACCCTATGCAACCCCAATCAATACCTTAGATCAGGGGGTGTAAAACTGCTGGCCCACAGGCCGGTTGCATCATGTAGAGGCCGCGCCCACCACAGCTCTGGCAATGTAAAAAATGTCACGATACATCGTGACATGTCATGTGACATGGCAAGTTTGACACCCGTGCCTTAGGTTAATATTGTGAGATGCTGAAAATTATAACTCAGATGTACCTGAAAGCACACTAGTTTCTCAATCCTGATTTGTTTACTGGATACCTAAATAGTAGCAATTTTCTTTGGTCTATGAAACTGGGTTTCAAAAGGCTACCTAAGGGGAATAAGGCCCACTCAGTATATATCTTGAACATGCGAAGGATCAAATATCCCTTTAAAAAATCCATCATGATAAGGATGACAATATAAGAAGTAGCATAAGGAGAAGAATTTTTTTTAAGAGGGCACACCAGTAGTGCCTTTATTTACTGTTCAGTTAATTAAATAATGTTGCTGACCGCCTTCTTACATATTAAACAACATTAAATTGTAAACACATGTCCAAGATATTTTACTTGGTGGAGACTTTGGGTTTCATCAGCAGACATAGACATTTTAGAAGAAAGAATAATGCATAGAAATTCTATTGTAAAACATTTTTAAGATAACAATTCAGAAGAACGAAGGAGTTAGAATAATTTGTTCAGGACAGGAAAGAAGTCAAACATTTCTCTCCTAATGATAATTTTGTGCATGCCCTAAGCCCCAAATATGCAGGTTAATGTCAACAGTAAAATAAGGAGGCATGAAATTTAGACTCCAATCATGAGTTAAAGAAGGAAATCCTAAAAAATAAGGAAGAAAACATTGCCGATCTTTAAAATTGGGCCTTATTTTCCATGTGAAAAATGCAACCTAACACAGCTTGAAATCTTGGATTTGACTGCTGATCTTATTTATACAGTATGGAAGGCGGGGCAGGGCAAATACCTTTTAAGGAGTAAATCTATCCTTACTTTGTGTTACCCATATGATGAAAAGCTATACAGATTGCATTGCCATGCAGGAAAAATACAAAGTGATTTTATTTTTACTAGAAAACAAATGTAGGGGCAGTGATTCATTTACTTATGCAATTGAGAGGACACTAGTCAAATATCAATCCTCAGCAAAGTAACTTGGGACTAAACTCCAATGAGTCCAGACAGATATACTTGGCATCAATACAACAGGCAATTGTTGCTGTTGTGGTCAATGTTGCTGGATGTGGAGAAAGGAATCATTTCAGAGAGAGAATCCAGCCGGAAGTAGTTGCCAACAGCTAAGCTGGGTGGGGCTGCAACCCCAGCAGTAACTAATAATATTTTCCAGAGCCTATAAAAGCAGCTTTTTATTTGATGGAATTTGAGAGCCCAGATTTATGTTGATTCGTTGTTTTTTTTTCAGTTTAGGGATAAGTTTCAGCAAGGCTTCAAGTTGCACCAATTTATTAGATATTTTGTACATGATCTATCTGTAAGGGGAAACTAATACTTAAAACATACCAAATACAAAGGAATTATGAATATGTGAAGTGGAGAAAATGTGAGAGCTACACATTGCAGTACAGGTAATCTTCCACTTACAACATTCGTTTAGTGACCGTCCAAAGCTACAACATCACTGAAACAAGTGAGTTATGACTATTTTTCACACACCACTGCAGCATGCCCGTCGTCCCCTGATAAAAATTCAGACACTTGGCAACTGACTCATATTTATGACAAGTGCAGGTTCCCAGGGTCATGTAAATCACCTTTTGCAACCTTCTGTCAAGCAAAGTCAACAGGAAAGTCAGATTCACTTAACAACTATGTTACTAACTTAAAAACCGTAGCGATTCACTTAACAACTGTGGTAAGAAAGGTTGTAAAATGGGGCAAAATTCTTAACCAATGTTTCACCTACCAATATAAATTTTGGGCTTAACTGTGCTCGTATGTAGAGGTTTATAGTCCACTTTTCCTTCAAGGAGAAGAGGGTATCCGGCCGTGTCCCCACTTTGCGCCCCACCTTGCGCCGCGTTTAATTCCCACAACTTTACTTTCGCAAAAGCTCAATGGGGAAGGAGAATTTCTTTGGGCCCCTCCTCAAACCTACAATCTCCCTCGCTCCTCGCGCATACCGACCTGGAAGATGAGCACCTTGAAGTGGTTGCGGCGCAAGAGCTGCGCGTGGTTGTGCTCCAAGCGCTTCACCTGGGCGCACTGGCGGTCCATGCGGTCGCGCACTTCGCGCGTGTTGGCGCTGACCTTGCGCGACTTCTCCAGCAGTTTGGCCACCGTGTTGCTGGTGGAGGTGTGGTTCTTGCACAGCTTGCTCAGGTCGCTCTGGATGCCTTTCACCGAACCCTCCAGCTCGATCTGCCGGTGCTCCATCTTCTGCTGGTTCTCCTGCACCGAGTCCAGCATGTTCACCAGCTTGTCCAAGAGAGTCAGCACCGTGATGGCGTTCACTTGCGAGCTGTCCCGAATCGCCTCGCCCGGCGCTGGCGGCAGCAGGCTGGGGCTGCGGCTGCCCGAGGGCACCGGGCTGGGATTGCTGGCATCCAGAGGCCCATCGGAGCTGGGAGAAACGTACGCGCTGCTCTTCTCCGCTTGCACTCCGTCCTCCCCCATCGCGACGAGGCTAGTGGGCTGCTGCGATCAGCTCCCTCTCTCGGGTGTCTTCTTGAGGGAGGCAGGAATGCAATCTGCCCCAGCACCGAGCACCTCAGAGGCTTCTTTGCAGTAGCCGAAAACTTGAGAAAAACTCGGCGCAGCCCCGCCCTATCTGATCTCCAGATTCTGAAACCAGGAAGGGTTCAAGCCCAGAGTTCGTTGCCTGCAGGTTTAAGTTTTCCCCCTCCGTCCTTCCCTCGCTTCTTCCCTCCTCGCCCTCTTTTCTTTATGGGCGAAATGTCATATTTCACTCATGAGTTCACTGGTATAGGCGGGGGCAAAAAAAAAAAAAAACCCACAGGCCTGGCTTTGCGCCGCAGCCCGCCATTGGTTACGGCCGGCTTGTAAACTTTCGGGCGGGCTGCTTTGCTGCGGAGACAGCCCGAGGAATCCCCTCCCAGTGTTCCCTTCCTGTTTTGTGTGTGAGTTTGTGTCTGTAGGTTTTTTTTTTTAAACGACTTTATGGAAAGAATTGTTTGCGTTTGCCCTTCCTCTGGCAGAAAGCAAGGAAATGGCAGAGGGAAAGTACAACCCGAGAACATATTATTTATGTGGGGTGACGAGAAGGACTTATTTTGAATGGGGAACCTGACTGCGGCCCCATTATTCCTGATCCTATCAAAACTGCCCCTTTGTCTAAGGAGTGTGGGGAGGTGGGAGGATGAGTAGTACTCATCAACGTGGGTAATCGTCTTCCTGCTCAGGTTGATTACATTTTGAAAGTGCATGAAGAAAACAAACCAAACCTTGGGGAAATATAAAACCCTTAGGGAAATATAAAGCCTGGCTTTCAATTTACTCAAATGCACCCAAGTTGGCTAAAAGCAGTAGTTAAGGAAATCATCCTAAACATAAATGGACTGAGGCCTGCCACGGACTAATCCAAGCATCCTATTAGAAGTCTGCACCGTACTTCATCAGGAGTATTGCCTTTATTTGAGGCAGGCATTTCTATGTTTAAATGTGATCGGGATTCAGTGAAGTTTGAGAATCCTGAAGAATTCAAGGAGTCAATGGGATTTGTGTTTAAAGTTGATCTGGGTTGAAACAGTCCAGATGACATGCAATAAAGAGATACTATATATTCTTAATCTACTGCCACAATTGTAGTGGTTATCTGGATTTTGTAATTCACACAATTTAACCTATTGAAGGGCTTACAAGAGTGTACTCGCTAAATAGAGTAGAATTGTGTCTGTTACGTTCTTTATTTCATCTGGTCCATTAAATCCCTGGTACACAACTGTGGTGTCTACCTGCTCAGTTAGATGAAAGTGTACTGTTGCACCTTGAATTATCCCTATTCCAAATGTCTGCACATTCATGTTCTGGAATAAATCTGTTGGCAAATTGGAAAGGAATGGATCCTTTGAAAAGGCTGTTAGAATTAACTGAGACTTGAGTTCTTGTAAAGGAATACAATAACTGACAAGTTATCAATGGAAGTAGAAACCCAAAGGAATGTATTGCAGCATCTCCGGGATTCCTATGAAAGCTTACCTTTCTTTGAAAGAAATAACAGAGCTATATATTTTATCCAGAGTTACCAAATTGGGGGTTCAATTCAATCCAAATCACCACTATATGACACCTAAGATAGAAAATTCCTACTCTTTGATATCACGTGGTGGTCAAATGACGTTTTGCAGGTAGATATGCTGCATTCAGTACAACTATTTTTCTAATGAGCTTATCTGGTGAGGGAATTGTCCTATAGATCAGAGATCCCCAACCCCCCGGTCTGTGGATCAGTACCGGGCCACAGCATGCCAGCAACCGGGCCGCACAGACAAGCAAAAAAGCCCCATCCGTGGGATGCAGGCAGCATACAAACCACATACCCTCTGGTTCGTGGAAAAACCTCTCTCCACGGAACTGGTCCCTGGTGCCCAAAAGGTTGGGGACCTCTTCTGTAGATTACAGGCAATAGAAGTAGTCCTTGGTTTACAACTGCAATTCAGCCTGGAATTACAGTTATATATAAATGTTGCAAGTAAAAGAGGGTTTCTGGGCAAAGCCAGTTGCCAAGCATCCAAAATGTGATCATATACTCCCTGGCCATCAGAACTGAATCCAGTTCATAAGTACCTTTTGAACAGTCGCTAAGTAACCAGTTGTAAGTCAAGGACTATCTGTAGTTAGTTTAGCTTTTTATAAGTTATCTTACTGGGAATCTATTTAATGGCAGATAGTAACGTAATAAATATATATACTTAGCTTGTATTTCCTCTGATAACCATATAGTGTATGTCTTGTGCATGGAAAAATCATGTAGGCATTTATGTCTGTATATTTTCCTATGCACAACTTGTGCTACTTTTTGAAGATAACCTAGATTCCCTTTGGTCTCTTAGGTTAATAAATGTGTGCATTTAAATTATTTTGAGGGTCTTTATAGGGTAGAAATCCCTTTAAAAATGATTTATAAGGCAGGAATGTAGGAATTTACTTCCTCACTCTTTTGTCTTTTGGCAATTGTAGATACTGAGTTTTTGTTTTTTTCAGAAATGTGCATGTAGTTGAACTATATTTAGTCAGTGCATTAGTTGATAAACAAGAAGGCTTTTTGTTCAAGATGCATGATTTTTGCATGGTGTGAATATTTTAGGAATCTTGACTGATAGTATTTTTCTACAGCTTTTGTAAAATGATTGCATATTTTATTGCTATTACCATTGTTGCTAATAGTGATAAATCAGGCATCTAACTGCTTATTTTTAGAAGCACATTATTAAAAGTATTTCTTTTAAACAGTTGCAAAAACTTAATATTAGTTTCGCTGACTAATCTCCAAAACATTTGAAGATGGTAATGTATATCTTTACAAAATCAAATGCTTCTTTGCATGAGGCAATAAGTTGATGACATTCTTCATGTCAAAGCTGTTCTGCTTGTTTTTGCAGATTTCTACAAAGGAATGTAGGTCTAGCTTTGTTTGTTGTTTTGTTAGGGGTTTGGGGCCTCTGAGTTGTCCTGGCAATTCCTCCAGGGGACTTTTTAAAATGGAAATTTAATGAAAAAGTGTTCTTCATACTGAATATTTTCTCAAGTACATATATGTAGCAGCAAAAGAATCTTTGTTAGATCCATTAGTAACTATACATTTATGCTTAACTATTTTAAGTTCTGCTTATTATTATTTGCAATCATGACAGACATTTTGAACAAAGTTTAGCTTGGAAGGCATCATGGTGACAACTGGGTGGGTGAAGATTCATTTGTGTAGGATCACTCCTTTGGGCCTTGCCCAGAGAATTCTTATTTGGATTAAAGAACAATTAATTTGAGTCTTAAAAGATATTAAGAAATCATTCTGAGAATGATTTTTTAATGAATCATCTGGTTGAAAGACACTACTTAAGCTGTTGACTCCAATCCTACTCCAGTGGTGGGATTCAAATATGTGAACAACCAGTTCTCTGTGTGGATGCAAATGAGGCATTTTACATGTGCGCGTGTGAGCGTGCACCGGGCCGCAAGCACCCTCAAGATACAAATGGGGCAGGACTACCACCCGCGTGATACTCACTAGGCCTGCCCCATTCTTGCACAGCACAGTGCCCCATTTCTGCACCCCACGGCACGGACTGCCCATTCTTTGTGCCCCACAGCGTGGCACCAGCCCATTTTCGCACCCTGTGGTGCAGTAGCATCCTGTTTTCATGCCCCGAGGTGCAGTGCTAGTGCAAGTGGGGGTGTGTGCACGTGCACGCACTGGCCAGCCTGTCCACAGCCCAGTGGCCAGAAGGCCATGGCCCACTGCCGGGCTGCAGCCCACAGGTTGGGGACCCCTGCTTTACAGCACACATTATGGGAAGCTTTTGAATAAATTGCACACGTTTTCACATGGATTTTTTTTCTCTCTGATGTGGAAATGGGCTGAAATGGATTCAAGGATGGAAAAATGTCAAACCGATTCAAAGTGACATTGATATATATAATAATTCTTGTTGAAAATATCTACGTGCAAACTGAAGCAACTTCCTCTTGAGTAAATGTACTGCAGAAAACTTGCATTCCAGAAAGCTTCTGCATCCTAGAAAGACCTGAGATAATAAATCAGTTCCATCATCAGTACAAAAGAAATACTCTGTGAGTTTTGTTTAAGGATCATGGAGGATTTTATTTGCCCGTGTTTAAAAATAGACTGACTCAATTTGAACTTCCTGGGCTGCTGTACAGATTGGGACACAATGATTCTTTGAAGTTCCAACTTTTGTGAAGCAGTTGCTGCTTTAAAAAACTGTCTACAAAAAGTATATGTTAGTTAGGGCATTTGTTTTTAAATGCTTAGGAAAAAAATGCATAGAGAGCATGTGAGAAAAGATGTCTCTTAAAGTAGATACAATCTTTGTAGGGTTTTTTTTTTCTAAAAAAAATGCATAATGCTGTATAAAGTTTTGACAAATCACGTAAAAAAATAAAAAGTTATAGACTGAACTGTAAATCCCTAGGTTTTAATTCATGGAATGTGGAACAAAGGGATGTTTGCCTTTCTCATCAGGCAGTAAGGCCTATTTTATTCATTCCTGCCCTAATTAGACTGAAAAATAAACATGCCAACATTTTATATATTATTAATCATGGACAGGACATTTAAAATCTTCCTAAACATTCTGCAAAAAAAAAAAAAAAAAGTGATGTTGATCTGTTTAAAAGATGAGCATTTTGAATGGAAATCATACATGATGTTTCTGATTCCATCAGGCTTGAGTTCAGGCTTGGGAGTGGCTAGCTCATCCCACAGAGTCATAGTATCTGTGTCTTAATCCATTTTTCTAACTTAATCAATGTATCAACAGTTTGGAGAAGGCTTATAAAAATGTACATTACAATATATCGTTAGGCTTTATGGGGCCACTGAATTCTTTTTATTCTTCTGTTTATTTGCTGAAGGTACAGAAGAGCTTACAGTTATTTATATTTAATAATAATAATAAAGTTGGAAGGGACCTTGGAGGTCATCTAGTCCAACCCCTTGCTCAGGCAGGAAACCCTATACCATTTCAGACAAATGGCTGTCCAGTCTCTTCTTAAAAACCTCCAGTGTTGGAGCATTCACCGCTTCTGGAGGCAGGTTGTTCCACTGGTTAATTGTTCTAACTATCAGGAAGTTTCTCCTTAGTTCTAGGTTGCTTCTCTCCTTGATTAGTTTCCATCCGTTGCTTCTTGTCCTGCCTTCAGGGGCTTTGGAGAATAGCTTGACTCCCTCTTCTTTGTGGCAGCCCCTGAGATATTGGAACATTGCTATCATATCCCCCCTCGTCCTTCTGTTTGTTAAACTAGACATTTTTACTTTGCCTGTATTTAAAAAAAACCGAAAACCTACTCAAGGCAAACTGCAAGAT